CAGCTGTGTATTTCCATGTAATGCTTTCTTACAGATAATGTGCTCTGCTGAACTGGTATCTCTGTGTATTGAAGGACCAAACTTTCCTTGGACTTCTGTGTTGTCTGGCCTAAAGACAATTAGGTAGTAGGAAGGTAAAATTAGCTTGCCAACCAAACAGGAACATCACAGTAGACTCTGAATTACTAGGAGTTCCCTGTATGGAAATATCCATAAACCTTGTAGAGTTGATAGGCTTGCTGTAATGGTTCAGAGATGTTTGTCTAAGTTCAGGTTATGTACTTACATCTGAAGATGGAGTAAAGAAGGACAGCGTGGTGACTGGAAAAATAATAGGTCTGGTCAATGACCCATGGACTGATGATGAAAGAAACTGTGGAGACTATTCTGTTCTTTGACAGTGAGAAAAAAACTTAGGTCAGATCCAATAATGAAAGCTTCTGGCTAATACGTTTTTTTTTCAATCCCTTAACAATTCATCAGTCTTTCTTTTAATGTGTTATGAGAAGTTTTGAAGAGCTCCTTTTGCAATATGAGTCTCTCCTAAATTAAGTTTTACGTATGTTTAAAGTAATTGGCAAAAATGCACTATTTACTTGGGACTTTTTAAGATATTAAGCTATTGTTGTATTTATTCTAAAGCCTATATACTTTTGATATGCGCTACCTGGAATCACCTATGGTGGTGCATATGGATCACGTGTCTGCTGTCCTCGATGTGGATTATTCACCCACTGGGAAAGAATTTGTCTCAGCCAGCTTTGATAAGTCTGTCCGCATTTTTCCTGTAGACAAAGGTCACAGCAGGTAAGTGACACTTGAGTTCTTTTTCTCTGTGATTCATACCAGTGACCTCTTTCGCTAGACCTCAACATTCTTAATTAATTCACTAACATCTTTATTGAGGAATTCACTTTCTGTGAACGTTCAGTGTCCAAGTGGAGGCAAGTGATGAGTGGTGTCCCTCAGGGGTCAGTACTGGGACCAGTGCTGTTTAATACCTTTGTTGGAGACATGGACAGTGGGGTTGAGTGTGTCCTCAGCAAGTTTGCTGATCATACCAAGCTGTGTGGAGTAGGTGACACCCCAGAGAGAAGGGACACCATCCAGAGGGACCTTGACAGGCTGGAGAGGTGGGCCAGTGCCAACCTCATGAAGTTCACCAAGGCCAAGTATAAGGTCTCGCACCTGGGTCAGCACAACCTCAGGCACAAATAGAGGCTGGGGGGAGGATGGATAGAGAGCAATGCTGAGGAAAAGGACTTGAGGGTGGTAGTTGATGAGAAGCTTGACATGAGCTGCCAGTGTGCGCTGGAGCCCAGAGAGCAACTGCATCCTGGTCTGCATCAAAAGAAGTGTAGGCAGCAGGGCCAGGGAGGGGATTCTGCCCCTCTGCTCTGGTGAGTCTGCACCTGGAATACTGTGTACAGCTCTGGAGCCCTCCTCAGCACAGGAAAGGCATGGATCTGGTGGAGATGATCCAGAGAAGGGCCACCAAGATGATCCAAGGTCTGGAGCAGCTCTGCTATGAAGACAGGCTGAGAGAGTTGGGGCTGTTCAGCCTAGAGAAGAGAAGGCTCTGGAGGGACATTGTAATGGTCTTCCAGTACCTGAAGGGGCCTACAGGAAAACGAGGAGGGGCTTTTCACCAGAGAGGCCAAAGACAGGACAATGAGTAATGATTTTAACCTGAAAGAGGGTAGATTTAGGATAGACATCAGGAAGAATTTCTTCACTTATGAGGGTAGTAAGGCACTTGAATAGGTTGCCTAGGGAGGTGGTTGTTGCCCTCTCCCTGGGAGTATTTAAGACGAGGCTGGGTGGGGCTTTGTGCAGCCTGGTCTAGTGTGAGGTGTCCCTGCTCATAGCAGGGGGGTTGGAACCTGACGATCTTTAAGGTCCCTTCCAAACTTCACCATTCTATGATTTTATGAATACTGAAATTTTACTCTCTATATAACTTGATATTGACAGATCATGTAGTTGACAGGTAATTTGCCATCTTGTTTCCCTCTGTGTATCTTTAATGTTTTTAGGTCACTTTGTGATGTATCTCTCACCACTTAAGTTTTGCAGTGCCTTACCACATGGTAGCACTTGGTTTTCTAGGGGCTGTCATCATCCTATATGAATGATTGCTAAACATGTTATGTGAAAAGCACTGCTGTATGAAATCCTGCAGATGAGCTTGGGGCACTTTTGTGATCTGTTTTAGTATGCTTATTACCATTGTTTGTATTTTGTCAACCAGGTTTTGATTCATGTGGCATTGCTTTGAATACAGTTAACTTTTAATTAGTTTTTTGTGTAAGATTTCATAAGGCAGTGTATTGAATACTTTGCTGAAGTTCAGATTGGATCTGTGTCTCCATTATTACTTTTTTTTTTCAGTTTGGTGAAAATTGAAGCAAGTTATCAGATCTGTCTGGTATCATTTGTTCATAAACCTACCTTCATTTCAACTTTTTGTTGTTAATTCTTCTTCTTTATTTTTAACCTTATTTTACTTCTAGTTGCCTTCCTCACTCCAGCTTTGGTCCACCCAAAGAGATGATTTGCAGGGTGGAAATGTTGAAATATTGATTGGGGAAGAGCATATTTATATTATTGATTGATGCAGCTATGTAGGTATTATTCACTGTCACTCTTTGTGTGCTGCATTAGAGATCAAGATGGGCTGTGTACATTTTCCTTTGTAACTAATCTACAGATAGTTTTCATTTTCTTCCTGCCCTACAATAGTATTTTAAAAGTAATTAGGTATTTCAGTTCCTTTGTGGCTTTGTTTATTGTGGTTTTTCTATTAAGCCCTTGTCTTCTACAGACTTTCCTTTCTATGGAATAGTAATGTTCGCAGAAGTGGTGATATGCAAAGTTAAAGCATGTGATTGAGGGGAAGTTTGCAGACCCCATCATGCAGTAGTAAAAGTCTTTATTTCACCTCATAGAAGTTTGTTGCCAAGGCCTGTGGAAAGAATTTGCCTGTTTGTCCCCCCCTTTTTCCCCTTCTCTGTGGTGGCCATAAGCTGAGTGAGGAAGAGCCTTACAGATGAAGAATTTAGCCTCCTATAAACTGCCTGAGGCATCTGGGACACCTAGAATTCTTTAGAACATGCGCTTTTTCAGAATTACACAGTTGAAATTAATACCATGGAATGAAGAAAAGTCTCCACATGGAATATCTGATTCCACTTGGAAAATGAGAGAGCAGCTAACGAGCATCTGTAAACATGCATCCTGACAATAATCTAGTTTTGACTTTCTATCTCCTGAAAATCTGAAAAACTCCTAACTTCCATTGTTTTCTAGTTTATTTTAAAATGAAAACTGAAATTAGGAGTCTAGTTATAAAAAGTAAGTTTTAATATGAAGTTGGTTAAATTTAGTAAATTCTTGGTAAATAGAACCAGATGTCTTTGCAAATTTTTTGAATGACAGATCCAGGATATTTGCCCATGTTTTGTGTTTCCTTTCCATGAGAATCATATGTAATGATTTGTAAACACAACAACAGGAGAGGCAAAGGCTGGAAGTTCAGAGTAAGGAAAGGAAAAGTGCTTAGTTCCCCAAATGCAGGTAAAGAAAAGCTTATTTACTGAGTCAAACAGTAATATGAAAGTAAACAGAAATGCTTGTGAAAATGTTTGTCTGCACACACCCTATTAAACATCACATCAGTAAAAAGCTGGAGAACTCATGTTTTCTTAAGGTGTTCAGGCTTAATCCTTTACATAGATTTTCTGGTAGAGCATCACTTAAATGTGGATTACAAGAGATAGTTACATTTATTAAAGCTTATTTAGAGAGGTATATTCGTTTGTTCTGCTTTTCTTGCAACCCCTTCAGCTCAACCTCAGTCTAGTTTTTCCACAGCTCTTGAATAGGTGGTGTTTCCATAATTCCTTTCCATTACTACTTGGATTTTACTGGTGAAAATAACTAGTTAGAAGAAAGAGGATGGTCTATAAGCTGCAGAGTGTGACTGATATACCAAAAGGAGTGGGTATTAGTGAACACTATGTAGGCGTTACTTATTCTTCACCTTTAGAATGCTAATAAATAATTAAAACTACCACAAAAGTGTACTTAATCCTATATTTTTATAGCAGAAATAAAAGAAGAACTTTATGAACAATATTGATTTTCTATATTTGGTACATAATTAAATGGAATTCTAATCAAATCTCCATTAAATATTGGTTTAAGTGTAGCATGTAGAAACACTTGTCAACAGGTGCTGGCACCTGTTGAGCAGGAGTCAGATTAGCAGCAATTTAATTTAGTTTATCCTTTAGTAGTCACACAGCTGTTCTGAATCCCTTTTTACTAGCTGATATTACTTATTTAGTTCTTGTTTGCAGGACTGGAGATTTTCCTTTGAGATTTTAGGCTTTTAAATTTTTCCCTTGGAGCTCTTTTGACAATGGTAAGGAAGTCCATTTTCAGGGAAAGGAGGGAAGTCACAATGAGTAGCCAATCCATTGCCATGTCTTAAGTGGACAGCTGGAGGTGTTTATTTACTGTTCTCTTTCTTGTTCAAAATGGTGCTGTCTCATGTTTTGGCACCCATTCTTCTTCACTCCCATTCTGTAGTATCTGATCAGTGTAACAGTGCATTAATTAAAATTTTGGGGGAACAGCATGCATACATTGTATCATATATTGTCTACCTATGGCAAGTTTTGCAAAAAGAGTTATTCTTTAGCCATTTACTGTAATTTCTATGAAAACACTTGTTTGAAAAGCATCTTATTCTAGGTGTTCCCTCGTCAGTCTAACCATTACAGGTTATTGGAATCTCCCTAGACATAAATCAGCACAGTGTTTAAAAATAAAAATAAAAAGTCAAATGTATTGAAAAAGCAACAAAGAAAGTGAAACATTTTGCCTTGCACAGAATGCTTTCTGCTATTTGAAAGGTAATGTTGGTGGGAAAAGTGAGGATAGATCATTAAAAATATTTCTCTGTTTAGGGAGGTGTATCATACCAAGCGAATGCAGCATGTCATCACTGTAAAATGGACTTCAGATAGCAAATATATTCTGTGTGGCTCAGATGAGATGAATATTCGTCTGTGGAAAGCTAATGCTTCTGAAAAGTTGGGAGTGGTAAGAGTTGAATTTTACTTTTTGTTATCACAAGATGTTTGGAATTTTTTGCTGTTAATATGACTGCTTAGCTTATTCAATTTCTAAAAGCTTGTTTCTAAAAGGAAAATATAAAATTGTAGTTTGACTTTTCTATTTAATTTGGAAACTGACATTCACGTTATAGTTAATTGAATTTACTGCAATTAATAATCATAATTACATGCCCTGTTATTGCTATGGAAGGTGATTTTTTGGGGTCTTGTTTAATGTAAACAGTAATCATCAGTTCTAAGTAAACTAGATAAAAAGTTTTTTACCTGGATACTACAGGTGAGAATTCACCCCTTTGCCCTAGAGAAAAAGCAATAAATTCTGGTTTGGCATACCTAAGTCATTCTACTGAAGCTTAAGGTTAGTACTTTTAAAGATTTTGACTGACATAAAACTGGTCATGTACAGTTCATCCTCTGATAAACCATATGTGTTGTAAAATAGACCATTTGCATCAATACATAAATGAGATGGTAATTAACTTATGTAACTCTGGGATATCAAGTAGCCAAACTTGTATGGTGGCTAAAGTCCATTTAATTCAGTGCAAGTCGATTTAGTTGAAGTGCTCCTCGAAGGAAAAGAGGTCAGTCTGATTAGATACATCTTTGCAGTTAACACTTGTTCAAATGTTTCTGTATAGACAAAGCCAAAATTTTTTGTTGCATCTACCACTTGCATGTATTAATCCATATGGATATATTAAAGTATTGAATGACTTTGGAGAATGAATTTGACAGTTCGTCCACTGGGAGTAATCTCTTTACGTAGCATTATATTGTAGGGTATTTTGGAGATGCTTACATTGCTGTTTCTGAGCCCATCTGCCTAGCTGTCAAATAAGGCTTGGGGGTGTTTCTGCTTTATTTTGTGAAAGACTGCAAGGAGGAAAGGGAAGCTGTAATTCAGGGAAGAATATTGTACAGTTAAGGGGATGAATCTATTGCACAGTTAAGTCTAGAGTGCTTGGAGTTACCTGAAGCCTCATCAAGTGAGCAGTCAAATGTGGTTGAAGATGTCCCTGCTCACTGCTGGGGATTTGTGAATAGATGACCTTTAAAAAGGTCCCTTCCAACTCAAACTATTACATGATTCTATGGTTTCTTTTTTTCCTCATGTTCTGAACTTACTCTTGAGATTTCCCCATGCAGTGCTTCAGTCAAACATTTAACGTATCAGTCCTGTACTTGCTAATTTTAAGGAACACACAAAGCTTATTACAGGCTTTACGTTTTGATTGAACCTTTATATTGAATTTGCTCAGACAGTGCGGTATTTGGCAGAAATATTACCTGTCCTGGTGTTGTATCCTTTTGGTCATGGCAATGCCCTTTTCACTTGGCTTTACTGTATTAGATAAAACTTTTCTTTATTCACTATAATCATACTGCAACAGAATTATTTTGTATTTTTTGAGATGCAATTCTGCCACGTACCCTTTTTATGAGACATAAGTGGGTACAAAGAATGTTGAATACAACCTTTTAATATCAAATGATTCCTAGTATTTTCAGATAAAATTCACTTTAATCTCTACTAGATGGCATTAGCTCCTTTTCTGAAGAAAAAGTAAGGATATTTGGCTTTGGGAAGTAATAGGCAAACCCAACTATTCCTCTGTCGCAGAAATACTGTGTACCGAAAGGACAAGTTGGCTGTTGTTTAAGTATTGAAAATGTAGAATCGTAAATGACATTCTGCTGTTTTTTGTAGTATTTGCATCTGAAAACTGATGTGAAAAAGGCACTGCCAGTTGTAACTTCTGGGTCTGCACATCAATACCCCTGTGTTCCTTGACCTGATAGTGAATCACACATAAAATGCTTTTTTATGTTTCTAAGTACATAGTTGCTGCTTGATGTGCCTATTGGAGGCTGCATGTAAGATTGAGTTCTGCTGTTACTGGATCATACAGAGATTTTTGTAGTGTGCATGTGTTTGTGAGCACTTCCGACAAAGTTTTTTGGCTATCAGGTCCCCAGAGGACTAAGTCAGTAGATGTCTGTAACCCCTAGGTCAAGTGGCATATGTTTGTTTTCATTTGTTTCCTTTCTTGTTTGTTTTTTTAAACTGTCAGAAATGAAAGCCATCCCATCATTTAGAACACAAAACTTGTCATCCTGTCTTAAAAAAAACCCACTACCTTGCAAATCAAAAGATGTTTTAAGAAAGCAAAATTATTTAGCAAGACAGGAAGAACTCACAAGGGGCAGTGAATTATGCAGAAAAACTGCTCTCATGTCACATGGATGATGCTAATGAACTGGTAAAGATTTGGTTCTATTAAGAAGATACCATGTTTCACATCTCCATATCTTCTGTGGAAATGTGTTCAAGCATGATTTTGTTGAAGCTTTGAATTTAGCAAAACGTGGAATTTGGATATTAAATTAGTAACTATCTGAATGTGCTGTGGTACTTGTTAAAATTTTCTTTAGAATCCATGTGAAATTTTATTTTCCAAGTGTTTAGAGAATAAATGTTGCTGATAGAACTTGAGTGGAATCTTTCTGGCTTCTGATGTTTTTGGATGTACCTTGGAAATGTTGCTTGGATTCAGGCAACTGTGCCAATACTTACTCAGTCAAACCTGGTAATTCATCTGGTTCATAACATTGCAACTGTTGATGGCTTCACTGTTTTTTCTTTAGGAGATGCTCTTTCCCAAAAAACCTTTTAGAGGATTGGTGTTCTTATCTTGGTAGACATGTGCTTGCTCATTTTAGGAATGTCCAATTCTTCCACAATCCATGGCTTTTTTTTTTTTTTTAACATTTTGCATATTCAAAACTGAACACTCAGTAATTCTGTCAGAAGTGTCAGAATATGTCTGAAATGCTTAGTTGCTTGGTCTGCGATTTTTCTTGCTGAGAAGATTTGATTGAATGACTCATCCAACAGTCACTATATTTCTGATATATCTTGTAATGCATTGTATTTTAAGATTTATATTTTTGGGGTGGGAGTGAATGAAAACAAAGACGAAAAAAAATAAATTCTATTACTACTTTTCTATTTGTTGAGTATTTGGTTTTGCTTCCTTCTAGCATTGCTGGGCTCCAGGGTAATTATAGTGAATATATAGTACTTATGTTGTGACTGAAGAAAATTTATCCAGTTGGAAAGTTGTATTTTGTGAACTGTGGCTACCCCAGCAGTCATCAGTTCTGACATGCATTTTTATTTTGTTTTCTAATGTATTTGGCAATGTGATCATTATTTAAAATCAGTGGAACACTGAAGTAAGAATAAAAGCCTCTGGAGGAGCCAGAGGCATGCTGTGTCTCCACTCCACTGACAAATTAAGTCTGCATGGGTTTTATGTAGGGGTAGCAACCCCCAAATCTCCCTGTTGGAGCTATTGCAGAAGTTGTCTAAAGATAATTTGCAGTGTTTAGTTTTTTCATAAAGGTTGTTAGAATAGTAATCAGTATTATTAAATAGGACTTAACAGGTTTTCTTTTTAAAGTAGTACATCTCTAGCTTTGCTTGTCCGGAAGCAAAAGACCCAATTAAACAAGAATTTTGAGATAATTCCAGAGTGCTCTAATACTGTTAATAAAATACAATATGTTTGAGGCTTTTGTACATGTGCTCTTGGAGAGGTTTGGGATTTCTGAAAGGTAAATGACTTGGTTTTGAGGAAAAAAGTAAAATAGAGCACTGTCTAAGTGAAAAGGCTGGAAAAGCAGCAGTAATAGAATAGGTTTCAGTTAATAAAATGGAATTAATCTAATTAGTACAAGGAAAGTGATACATTGGGTTTTTTGAGTTATAGTGAAAACAATGAACCATCAGTAAAACTTAAAGTTGTATTGTTCTTCAATCTATTAACACATTAGAAAAAAATCTACACATGCAGTTCTTACAGTGTTAAAGTAACATTACTTGTGTGAGTGACAGCTGCAAAATTTGGTTCTGGTACATTTCCAGAGTAGTTAAGAATTGGAGTAGAGCAGTGGACAATTGAAGAAGAAAACTTTCTGCTTGGGAATGATTTCAATTTTAGCAAGTGTAAAAACAAGTGTGAGTAGTGTAACAGCAGTGGAGCATACGTTTGCTGCTTTCTTACCAGATGCAGAAATAATAGCTTTTGAGTAAGGACTGAAAAAGGAGAGAGTGCAATTAGAAGTCTTGGTTTTGATCTAGCGAAGTGCATTAGCAGGAGTGTGTCAAAACTGCCTAAGTAATTGTATATCCTTTCAGTCTGCTTCTAGTATACAGTTCCATTTTGTGAGATAAGGCTGATAACAAGGAGCACCAGATACCGTTGTGACATGGCTCTCTTTTCAGTGATTTTGTGTTTGTGAGTCAGTGTGCATGTAGCTTAATCCCTTTAGCTATGACTTTGTGCTCTTAACATTTACATTATCTTTTTTATCTTTCATTTAGATATAAAAAAGCCATAAGTTTTTGATCCAAGGAAACATTGAGTAATAAACTTTATGGCAATAAATTTAGGAAGGTGTTTTCAGCAGAGCAATGAGAAAAAAGTGAAGACAAGCTATGGTGTAGAAAACTGCTGGAATATGTTTGTATTCTAAAAATACATTGCATCTGTGCTCTGTCTGCCCTAATGTAGAAGGGCAACCTGGACAGGATAGATAAACAGTAATTTCTTATTTTCATGCTGAATTAGGGGAGTCTCATAATGTGAAGTTTTAAATACTGCACAGTACAGATACAGCCCTCCTTAAAAGGAGAATTTTTCATTAAAGTTGGTTTTAGCTCTTCAATCAAGGCTCTGGAAAAATGCTTACTTCTGCTTAGATGGGAAAAGTAACCAGCCTCTATCATCTGGAGGAAGGAAAGAGGCATAAACAGTTTACTTGAGGACACATTTTCCTATTGCTGACAACGTGGCTGCATTTTAGAATTCTTTGTCCCCGTTTTTCACCCTAGATATTTGCTCTGAAGTACTGCTGTGGTAATGACAAACCAGCTGTCTATCTGCCACATAATTTCTGTTTCCCTCACACAGGAAGGAAGTTTCGCATTCAGTTTTGGAATACATGAAAAAAGGGTCATATGTCATCCTTAGCATGTCTTTTTCTTATGATATCATATAAATCTTAATTTACTGTATTGCAGAATGTTTTAGTCCCTATAAATGAAATCTCTAATCCTGGTGACTTGTGCTGTGTTTACATCTTCTCCAGCTCAGAGCAGAAAGGGAAGTAATGCTGTTCTCTTCAGCTGTTTATGTTGACCTTTGTAAAATGACTTGCAAGAGAGGGATTGGAATTCAGTGTTATTGCAGTCTCTGCTTTCATAGCTATTTGCTGTTTTTCATAAATAGACAGAAACTTGTCATTATTGCAGAGTTCTCTTTTAATGTGCAGATGAGGGTGGACTTAGCACAGCCTGGTATAAGCAGTGTTGGCAGACAGTAGTTGGATGAAAAGTCCATCAGCTGTGTGCATTTCTGTATACCACTTTATACATAACCACTGCTTAATCTATATTAATTTTTTGAATAAGATATCCTGGATATGTCTTTAATTTACAGATTCACCTCTTGTTGGTAGAATCATCAAGGTATACTAAATAAGCAGCAATTTGGGCTTCTTAAATTAAAGGAAAATAATTGCATTTAATTAAAATTAAAGCTTTTTAATTTGGATTATGTTGGCAGTTTTCTGCAGAGTGAGAACACCTGGGATTTAGTAAGTGTGAAGCAGCTATTCAGGCTGGCTTGCTAGAAGTAATTTCAGTAAAGGGTGGCGGGGAGGGGGTGTTAGTTTTAGTGGGTTAAGAGTGTCAAATTTACTTGCAGTTTGAGAGGTCATCATAAATGTAAGTAGAAAGACTTTTTATTGTGAGTAAGAGGGTGTGAAGAAACAGACTTTAAGACTATTATGTGTCTTGACACCTGAATAGGAATTATCTGAGTGATAAGCAATTCTGCATCTGGTGCCTGGTATCTTTATTGTCCCAAAGGAGAAATTTCTTTGCTGTATGTTTTATTGATACTTGGTTTCATACCAGTAATGCTATTTTGGACCAACATTTTCTGAATATATATTTTTTTTTAGAATTTATGAAATATTCTAAAATAAGTCACTTGTAAAAGTGACCTTGAAAGTGGAGAAGAGGCAAGCAGTTGCTGTTTCCAAAGGGGAAAAAAGCATTTTTCATAATAATGTAGGTAGAATTTCCAAATAAAGTTGTTGGGTTTGTTACTGCTCTTTTTTTTTTTTTTTTTTGTTATTAGTATCTGAAACTCAGGTTCTGTTTTTTCTTGAGAAAGTAAGAAATTATTGAAACTGAGTCAGTTGCAAAGGTAAGTACGTAGAACATTAATTGTTATTTCACTTTTAATACTTTAGGTGCAGGTAATAGTGAATGAAAGAAATATGGGAGAGGAAAAGACTTGTTCCACTGCTTGTTTGAGAATATGAAGGGATTTTAGATGTCTGAAGTGTTGGAGTTACAAGAATGCATTTTGGAGGGAGAGTAGGAAGAAGAAGGTAGATTATCTTCTGTTAATATTTAATAGATTTTCTGTTTATATGAAAGCTAACTAGACTGAGATGCAGCTGAAATTTCCAGAGATATGAGCAAATGCAAAATACATATAAACTGATACTCCTTGTGAAGCAATGCATGCTTTAAACAAAAACACAGCACACAGGTTTGGGGTTTCCCCCCCCCTTTTGATAAGTAAACATTAGGACCAAAGGAAACATGCCTTGTTGAAAATAAAAAAATAAAAATCCTCTCTAGGTTAGCTGTCAGGAAAAGGCATTTCTCACTTTCAGGATTGTTAATGGGGGTCAGGCATAATTTTAAACATGGATAAAGTTAAAGTATTTTGTGGTAATACTAGGTCACTTGTATTTAATGTGTTTGTGATACTGAGGTATTTTTAGCTGCCTGATAAAAGTAGGAGCTCCCTGTGCGCCATATAGTCAAGCTGATACTTGAAACCTGAGATGTACACTGTGCTTCCTAATGGATCAAGGTTCTGTGTAAGATTAGGCCACCTAAAGAGCTGCTTGGAAAGCTGTTCATGAAGACATTTAATTTATAATGTTTCTATTTACGCTGGCTAGTGATTAGAATGCCTACAAATCTTGTTTCACAGCAGAAGTTCATCATCATGAGAGGTTAGGAAAGCAGGCAGACTCTGATCAAAAAGGTTTTACTGTCAACTATTTTTGTTCTGGTTCTCTACAGCACATCAAAATCTGATTTTCAGGGAATAAATTCCCTTGCTTCACTGAACTTTAAATTCTGTGATAATACTTTGTGTTTGAGCATTGGGGTATTGTTGATGTAAGTTTTTAGTATTTACCTACCCTAACTGTAAAGTTGCTGTGGTTACAGCTGTTTGATAGAAGGAAGCGAGTTGAATTAAAAGTTACAATTGTGTTTTGTAGAAAAAATCCTGGCAGTGAAGTCCCTGTACTTTTATAACATGTTTCTGTTTTTCTCATAGCTTGCACCACGAGAGAAGGCAGCTATGAATTACAACCAGAAGCTGAAGGAGAAGTTCCAGTATCACCCAAAGATCAGACGCATAGCTCAGCACCGTCACTTGCCTAAAAGCATATATTGCCAAATCAAGGAGCAACGAATCATGAGAGAAGCTCGTCGGCGAAAGTATGTCTTCTTCTTCTGGCTCTTTTCTCTTGATCTTAACAAAATGCATGACTGCAGTGCTGGAGCAGTCGTGTACGGGAGTGTTAGAGCTATGGTGTGTGGGAAGAACAAGCATGAGTTACTTGTAACATCTGAATAAGTGATCATGAGCTACTGGATTGATTAACCTTTGATTATAAGGAAAAGGCAGACAACTGCCAGTGTCAGTGGGGACTGGCTGCTTTCCAAAAGTTCCCTGAAGAAATGGGAGTGAATACTGTGTTGGAAGGAGCCACAATGCTTTGTTAAACATGACAGGATGCAACATTGCAATGGACACAGAATGGCCTGGTTTGGGTGTGTGGAGGTTTTTTGGTTTTGCTTTTCTATTGTGTGGGGTTCTTTTCTTTTTGATTCCAGACTCTAGGATGAGTGTTTTCAGTCACCTGGACCATTGCCATCTTGGAATTTTTAGGAGTAGGTGGCATACTTTGCAGCAACCATTAAATTAACAGTAAAATAAAGAAGTGGTTGGCTTTTCTTCTCTTTCTCTGCTGAAATACTCTACAAATGTGTGCAGCAAATCCTGTTGACAGGAATACCAAGCAAGTTGACTTCCCAAGAAAAGACTCAATTTGAAACTTTTCTAAATTAGCCAGTTTTAAAGTTATCTGTCAAAGTAGTTTGTCTTATTCTCAGAGGAGGAAGTAGGTGGCTTTTGATTAATAAAAGCAGAGCAATTTATTATTTTTTTTTAATTGTAGAGTGCCTTCATTAGTAGCTGTATGAGGAAGCTAATGGTTGTTAAATCTTTGTGCTGACTCCTGGATTTCATTGTTTTGTCTTTTATTTCTAGGGAACTGAATCGTCGTAAGCACAGCAAACCAGGATCTATGCCGTTTGTTTCAGAGCGGAAGAAACATATTGTGGCAGTAGTAAAATAATTGTTTTCACATGCACAAAATGTCACAATGAAAGCCAGTGTGACCACTGAATGAATCCACGGTATGAAATTCAGACAGCGTACGGCTCCAGAACCATGGCTTTTCTTCCAAGTATTCACGTGCTCTGATTTCTCAAGTCATCGTCCACTTTGAGTAAGAATTTGTCCTGTTATCTTTTGTTGACATTTGTGTATCTGATGTTACTGTCCCAACACTGTGGAGTTGGACCCTTTTGATATAGGCATGTGACTTGGTACCTTGTGGAGTTCCAATCCTGTTCTGTGATACCATTACTGCAAAAGAAGGATGAGCTTCGCCACAGGCAAAAGAAATGTGTTCCAGAGAAAGTTATAAAATCAGTTGTCCTTACCTTTTTTTTTTTTTTTAAACAAATCTAATAAAGTAAACAAGTGACCTTACTGCAGCAGACTAGATCTTGATTCTTCCAACTGAGAAATACAATGCATTCATTATACATATTGCAATATGGTATTTTTCTTTTATCCAAAAAGAATTCAATGGGATTTTCAGACATCTGTAAACATATTTGTAGTTTTGTGCTGTCTTCTTAACTGTTGTTACTTGACAAAACTTCAGACTGTTGAAGTTGCTAATAATAATGACATAGTTGAATAAATACCTTTTGTCTTTAGCATATTTAAAACTTCTAAAATCTGGATGAAAAATGACATAAATTGTATAGAGGCCAGAAACTTCTTCAGATGAGACTTACAGTAAATCTTCTATTTTAAGTCTATATAAAAAAATAAAGGCTTCTTTTACTGTTTTTCTGCTTTTCTTCCATTGGGATAGATGTAGACTTCTAAAAGTGACCTTGAGAGTGGAGAAGAGTGAGGGAATTGCTGATTTCAAAGGGGAAAAAAGCATGTTTCGTAATGTTGGTGGAATTTCCAAATAAAGTTGTTGGTTTGTTATTGCTCTGCTTTTGATTGCTATTAGTATCTGAAACTTGGGTTATGTTTTTTCTTGAGAAGGTAAGAAATAGTGAAACTTGAGTCAGAGGTTGAGGTGATGGTGGACAAGAAGCTCAACAAGAGCTGGCATCTTGTGCTTGCAGCACAAAAAGTCAACTGTGTCCTAGGCTGCATCAAAAGATGTGTGGCCAGTAGGTCAAGGAAGAGGATTCTCCCCCTTTACTCACCTCTTGTGGGACCCCACCTGGAGTAGTGTGTCCAATTCTGGAACCCCCAACATAAGAAAGACATGGAGCTCATGCAGAAAGTCCAGAGAAGGGCCACAAAGATGATCTGAGGGCTGGAGCACCTCTGCTATGAAGACAGGCTGGGACAGTTGGGGTTGTTCAGCCTGGAGAAGAAGGCTCCAGGGGGACCTCATAGTGGCCTTCCAATACCTGGAAATCTGGGAAGGTCTTTTTACCAGGGTGTGTAGCAAGAGGGCATGGGGTAATGGCTTTAAGTTGAAAGAGGGTAGATGTAGGTTAGACGATAGGGAGAAATTCTTTAGTGTGAGAGTGGTGAGACACTGAAGCAGGCTACCTATGGAGGTTGTGGATGCCAACTCCCTGGAAGTGTTCAAGGCCAGGTTGAATGGGGCTTTGAACAACCTCGTCTAGTGGGAGGTCCCCTGCCCATGCAGGGAGGCTGGAACTAGTTGATCTTTAAGGTCCCTTCCAACCCAAACCATTCTAGGATTCTATCATTCTATGCAGGAAGAGAAAGAGGTCTGAAGAGCTGTAAATAGGATTATGAGAAGCAGTGGAACAAATCAGGGAACAGACTGATGCTGGCTGTGTGCCTGTTGTACTAATACAGTGTGCTCTGTGCCAAATACAGTTCATTTCCTCCTGAACACAGAAAATTGAGGAAGAATGTGTGGTCCAAAGTATGGTGTGACACAGCTGTAGTCAAGTCTTTCACAATTTGCAAAACCAAACTAATCTGGAATCTGATTGAAAATTTTCAGTCTTGAATGTAACTAGAGAGCTTTCAGTTCTGAAGTTAGTTTGATTACAAGGTATGGTATTGTTGTGGAGCTCTACTGCACGAGCTATGTCCAAAAGAGCTTTTTATGTTCAAAGACTTTGTATGGTGGCTTTCAGACAGGCCTCCAAGTGGAGCAGCTCCAAGGATCAGGGTTGGTTAAAAATGTTGCTAGAGAGACTGTAACAGCATGCTGAAAAAAGGAATTCTAAAGTTAGGACATTCTGAAGTCAGTAATTTGGAATTTTGCAGGTGGTATTTGCAGTCTGTTCAGAGGATCCCTGGCCTCAGATTTCTATGTTGTTGAGGTAGCTGCCGTAGGCTTGTCCCTTTTGGAAGCCCTTGCAGTTGGTCTCTTAATATTTTTTTTGTGGCCATCCGCCAGAAATACATAATGCCACAATACTCAGAGTAGGGTTTTTAATTTTATTTATTTAAATGTAGTAGTTGCCAAGTGGTAGCTCTGGGCTTGCAAGAAGTGCTCATAAAGATCTGTGACAGGCCATCACTGAAATGGTTTACAAATTGTGTTAAAGGAGGTGTAATCAGGCCTTCTATTAAGCACCTGAAAGGGATTACCTTGATTTATCTAAATCATAGACAAAAAGGTTATTGATACATGTATGCATACTTGAGTGTATGTAGAATAACTGTTAAAGATTGTCTTCAATTTTGATGTGGTTAATTTAAAAAAAAAAAGGCAGAGGGAGGTGATGAACTGTTTTCTAAACCAGTGCAGTGCCTACACAACTGCTGATGAAAAAAAGATAACTTCTGTATGTATTCTTACTTTGGAAAAATATTTAAAGACTGTTTTGAAAATCAATTAACTTCTTTGTTACAGAAATATTTAAGTCGATCTTCATAGCTTTAGTGAATTTTAGCTACTTCAAGATAAAGCATCTATGGCGTTCTCCATGTTTTGTACCTTGTTCTGCCATAGCCAGGCTACTTAAAAATACAGATATTTGAGTGAAACAGTTTCTTTTACTCTGTGTATACTGTAGATATCTAAACCAATTAAACTGCCACGCAGGTTTCTGAGGTGTGTATGGAAATACATAAAAGTTTTAGATCAACTAAAAAAAACTCCACAGGAGGATTTTTTTTGCCACTGTTCATGTTTGTTCATGGTAGCAGAGTCCCATGGCCTTTGGGACCTGGAGGATTTTTCCCCTCCCAGTTTGAAGGATCCAGGGTTGCTGTGATTCTGTATCTGCAAGGCCATAACAATACGAACCAATACTGGTGTGTGTACCTTCACGCAATGCAAACAAACACAAGGCCAGCACAAATCAACATGGGGAGAGAGCAGTGCCTTTGCTGGCACCTGTGTAAACACAGGCTGCACTGAGGTGTTGCAGCCCCATTCTCTTCCCCCCCAGCTGGCCAGGATTGAAGTTCACCTGTGGGTTGTGCACACACCTGCAGTACAAGTCTCTGGAAGCTGCTGTGAGACTGTCCCTGCAGCATCTGTTATGCAGACTGTCTTCCCCAGTTGCTGCCCCTAGACCCTCAGGTCCTTCAGATATGTGGTCCCACTCCAGTGGCTCTTACTTACTGCTGTAGTCCCACTCCTGGGCTAGTCCCACTTGGAGTTTGCTAGCAGTGGCACGTGTACACAAGACCCATTAGAAACAGGGTGCAGTAACTTATCAGGGGGACTGCAGTGATGAAGTGCAAGGCTTGTGCATTGATGTGTAATTGGTAACCTGTCTACACACAACTGGACCCCTTTATCCTCTTTGCCGTGGGTTTTCCCACACTTGTTTCTCACATCTACCTTAGTCCTTCCTTTTATACACCTTTGGTGCTTCCCTTAAACATCCCATCAGAAGTCTTGCACATTCCTGCGATTCCCTTAAAAAAATCCCATAATAAATTTTATATAGTCCCCAAAATTCTCTTTCCCAAAGATCTCACCCCCCCGTATCCTGTAAGAGGTCTTACCTCACCTTAGGTAATCCTTCAATTTGCATGGCTTTCTGGGGAGTTTTCTACAGGTGTTTTCATGGGTTTTGCACCAGAAACAATTATCTGAATTATTCTCCTTTGATGGTTTTTGGACCAGTGAGTCAGTATACTTAGTTTTCACTAACTGTTCTGATCCTTGCCATAGCTGTGTTTAATTTGCTTAGCCTTTAAACAGATAACCTAGCATGCTCTGTTATATGAAATCACCTTTGCAGTGCCTTCTGATCCTAGTTATTGGACCAAAAATGTGGCAGTTGAAGTAGGATTAATCTTGTTTAACTGTAGATGACTACAACAGTTATGCTGAACAGCTTTGTGTAGCTGTTCTCACACTATATGCCATGGTGATAAACAGGTACTGCTAGGGGACGTTTCTCCTCTACTTCAAACTATTATTATTTAAACTTATTTTTGTTTTATTATTGACATTGTCATACCAAAGGCAGCTAGTTGGCTCAAATATGTACCTAGTTTTAGGCAGACTTGCATACAGAGGTGATTAGGTTTAAGATGAGCAAAGCAGTGAAAAGTGTTGTATCACACCTTCTGGAAGTGCTTGTTTGATATTTGGCATGACAAAAGCCTAAAAACGATTGAAGGGAGATGAATGAGGTTCTGTAACTGAAGGACAAAGAAATTTCTGTGGATAATAGTTTGTAGGACACCTGGAGAGCTCTGTATATTATACTAGACAAAGATGGAAAGGCATCCAAAGAAAAGGAATTTTAATTAGAAAGAAAAGAGTTAATGTGTTCACCTAGGACTTCTGGGTCTTTAGATATGTGAAGAATTCTAGGACAAAATTAAAGATCATAGTTCAAATGTTGCCAACTAAAAAGTTCTGAAAGCATTACTCCTTGCTAACTTAAATTTAAAAAAATAACATGTTCTTTATGCATAGTTTGAAACAAACTTAAGGGACTTATTTTCATAGGTGATGAGTAATAACTGTTACACTGACTTTAAGCACAGCTGCTGTTTTACAGTGACTTGAAAATTTGACCTGGGATCTTAGCACATGAAGTAGAAGATCCTGTGTTTGGGAGGTTTTCTTGTATTAATAAATATTAGTACACATAGTGATTTCATTTTCTCCAAGTCTGAAGCAGTTTCAGCAGATGCAAATGAT